GCCCACGATGGTCCGTGGTGGGAAGGGCACGGCTGGGTCCTCCACTGATGCGCCCGAATGCCGCTCCCCACGTGGTTGGTGTGAGAGTGGACTGCTGGCCACTGGGGAAGAGAGAAGGAAGGCCCATTCCCTTTCTACGCTGTAGGAAAGGAGCAGAAAGGTGCAGAGGGAGGCTTTCTAGGCAAAATGCCGGGCCTTGTTGGCGGGGTGTTTTGCCTGCAGCGTTTAGGTACTGGTGCGTCTCAAGCCATCCACCACCTCCAGCTTGCGTGGGTGTGAGCTGGCCCCCCGTGCTGTGTACCTGCGGATGCTGAATGGATTCTTTCGGTTATGCGCTGGGGAAAGGGGACCATTTTGTAAAGGTCCCGCTTGCGCCATCCGGGATGGCGTCCTTCTGGAGGTTAGGACCCCTTGGTGGGGGCCTCCGCGGAACCTTGGTGCGGGGAAGCTGGACTGACCTCCAGCCTCATCTCGGCTCCTTAGCTTTCCCTCTGCGGGCTTGGGTGTGCCTTAGGGGTCGCGCTGGGGTGGACGCCTGGGGCGGGCGCCTGCACGAATCTCTGGCACCCCTGCGGGTTTCAGGTCCTTCCGAGCCCGCGGAAGAGGCAGCGATGCTCCGAGCGGCTCCGGGCTCCCCAGCTGCCACGCATTCCCACCCCAAACTCCGGACTCGGAGTCCGCAGCCTCCCTAATGAAATTAAGGGCCATTAGATCACCCTCGCGCTGATGTCTCCACACTGTCCCAGGCCGTCAAAGCAATTTGGCTAAGCCGGGACGATGGCCGCGCCGGCCGGGGGCTGCGGCGGCCGGCGGGGCCCCGCTGCGTCTCTCTGTCGCCACGCCGCCCGGGCCGGCGTCGCTATCGGCCAGGGAGGCGGCCGGGCCGCGACGGCCGGAGATTAGAGCCGCGCGGCCCGGGGTCGGGGAGCCGCGGGGTCCCGGGCTTCCGCCCCTCCCCCGGCCCGGGTCGGGCCGTGCTCCCCTCCCCCCCCTCCAGGCGGGTCTCGAGGGTTGGCCCAGGAACCCTGCCCCAGGGTCATCAATGCAAATAATCAAAGACACTGAGACTATTTCCACCGCTCAGTTTGCGGTCCTGGGGAAAAGGCAGGCCAGATTTTCCGCCAGCGAAACGCGGCAGTTCGCCCATTCGGTGGGTAGAGATCAGAACGTTTTGGTAAATATTAAGGTTACCCGCCGCCCGGCAGCATCAAACCCCAGGCGTCATCGCAACAACAAACTCAGTTTTATTAGTAAAGTTACCCATCGCCTCCAGATAGATCTGCTCCAGCAAGAGTGTGGGGCCTGCAGGCCCCCCTCCTAATATTAACAATGGTGGTGGCAATAACAGGACAGCTACAGTAGTGAGGTCCCACTTGTCCCTGGGACCCCCCTTCCCCAAAACGTGGAGAAGACAGAAAGGAGAAAGAATATTCCCCCAAAAGCAGATGCCGCAGTCGTGTCTGGGGCCAAGTCTGGACATAATTCCGGTTGGTCATCGATCCCGATATGCTCTCAGATTGGAAAAAGGGAGCCTCAAAGAGCAACCAGGCTCCATTTGATGTTGGGGGTCGGAGGAGGGGGTGCTTCCCTCTCCCATCTTACCTCCTTAAAGGTCCCCCTTCCCCACCATTTTCCTCTCTTCTTCATTGACTCCACTTTGCACATTCTCCAAACAAAGGACCAATCCTGTGATTTTTTTTATTCCAGTTCTGCAAATGCTTGCATATCCTCCTTTGCATCTCTTTGAGTTTTTTGGGTTTTTTTTGGGGGGGGGAGGGGGGAATTATTTGCATGCTGGCTTGTTTATTTGTTTGCTTTCTCTTTCATTTCGTTCCAGAACTGCTGCCCAGTCTTCCCGGGAGGGGAGGGGAATGTGCGCCAGTTCCTTGCCCCAAACTTGCTTCACTCCCACTGGGGGCGGGAAGTGCCCTACGCAGGGGAGTTAATTTATTAAGCAAACGTTATTAAGATTTCTGATTTACTGCTGTGTGTGCTTTGGGTAGATTCCTGGAATATTACCCTGGCTTTTTCGGATGGAAATTGTCATTTTTGAAATGTTTCTTTTTAATGAAATCACTGGCTCCTTTTCAAACACAAAAGAAAAAAAAACCTGGACCTTTTTTTCAAGAGCCTGTTATTAGGAACCTAATTTTTGGGGAGGAGGGAGTGGTTTTATGGAAACAAAGGGGTTTTGATTTTTCTTACAATCTCATTTTCTTTATTACTTTTAGATTATTCTAAATTCCATGCACAAATACCAGCCCAGATTACACATCGTGAAAGCGGACGAAAATAATGGATTTGGCTCAAAAAATACCGCGTTCTGTACCCACGTCTTTCCTGAGACAGCGTTTATTGCGGTGACTTCCTACCAGAACCACAAGGTGAGCCCAGTTCCCGGGAACCAGTGTGCCTGGGGCTGCTTCCTGGTTTGCATGAAGCCGTGGGGGTCTCCTGCTAAAACCTTAAGCTTTATGGGTGCTTTCATTCCTCTGCACAGTGGGCACCAGCTTCCACCCCAGGGGACTGGAGCAGCGACAGAGCTGAGCCCTAAGGATCCCAGCTGTTTGTAGTGTATTCTTGGGATGGCATGACAGTCTCTCTCACACAAACATACACCAGATAGAAACAAAATCGTCAAACAATAGATGACCACATCAAATGCATCAGGAAGGCAACCTGCTGCGCTCAGTCAATTATCAGTGAGAAGAAAGGTCCCTGTATTGGATGGCTCTGTGCTCTTGGGCGGGGCCCTGGTGCCACCCTCCCTCGGGCCACCTCTTCTGTTGGGGTCAGTCCTGACTTTTGGATGGACTTCAACTCCGATCAGGGCAGGTGTTGCCGGAAACCTTGAGTTTGGAATTTTTTCAAATGCTTTCCTAATTGTTTCAGTGATTACTGACCCTGGGCCAATTACTCAAACAAGGTTGGCATTGCTAAAACAAAACCAAAACCAGCCTGTGCTACCAGCATCTTAGATCGAAGCTCTGGGGTCTTAGACAAGATCCTGCAAAAACATCGCTTGGTGGGGGGAGGTAGGCTCGTGACCAGTGCTTCCTTTGGTGGCTGCAGTGTTGTGTAGAGGTGGGATGGTGCAAATGGATTGTGTCAATGTCAGATCCTACCCTCCTCCAAATCCAGGCCCCCATTTGGGCATTTAAGGCTAGATAGTGATACTGGGACAGGGTGCCCCATAACTGCAGTTTGAGGGGAGTATCTTCTATTCCTGCTCAGGACGAAAGGTTTATCTATAGATTTGTCATGGTTCATGCCTGTTCTTTTAGAAACCTGAGTGCATGTGGATTCATTTTATTGCAGGGGAGGGTGGGATTGAAAGATTCCTAAGCCTTGTAATGGAAAGATCTAGAATTGGGAAAGCCAAGATATAGGGGTGTGTTTGTGTGAGTTCTGAGCACAGTCTAGGAGCCCTTGCCACTGTGGGGTTGTAGTCGATTAGGAGCATTATGAGGTGATTTGGGGTTAGATGGCTGTGGGAGGGGAAAGTAGGGGGGTATCCATATGGGATCACTGAGGGCAGGTCATATGGACAATTTAACAAGATGCCCCTCCCCCTCCACAGCTCCCATCCCTCCCCCACCTTCAAGGAAAGAGTGGGGTGGGGGGAAGCGACAGGGGCTGGGCAGCCAGGCAGGAGAGGCCAGGGTAGGGTGAGAGATGGGCTTAGCATCCTAAACCTCCAGTCACCCCATGAAGGTCATTTCATGCAGGCTGGGCGCTGGTTAATCTGCCCCAGTGAAGCCAGGGCAGTTATGAAATGCTGTGGGTAATCTCCAAATTCAGATTGTCAGTGACCAGGCCAAGCTGTGATGGATGGTCCTTTCCAGGCCACACAGTCTGTTTGGGATCCCAGGTCTTGAGAAAGCTTCCTTTCAACAGAAAACTCACTCACCCCAAATGCAATTTTTAAAGGGAAAGGATTTTTTTTTTTTTGGAGTTCTCCTTAAACTAATAAGAGCAAAAATGGTAAGGTCAAGTGCCCTGAAATTTGCAACACTATTTCAGGCTAATTTGAGTCTGGCTGCTAGAGACCTATTTCCTCTAGGGTTGCTGAAAACCTATGTTTAAGTTTGTGGTGACTGTCACAGGGGAAAAAAATGGAAATAAATAGCGCCCAGGATGCCCAGTTCCCCATGTATATATATATAGGCTTAGAGTCTCTCAGACCTGACACAGGATCCAAAAATATGTCAGATTTTATTTTTCCTGCCACGAAAACCCAGGGTCATACAGGAGCGGAAGACATATGAAAATAACCTGTTAAAGACACACGTGGGTGCTCAGGTCCTTTGGGGGAAACTCCTAAGCTTTCTATAGTTCTGATCTTAGAATCCATCAGGAGTGGGTAGACCTGGGGATGTCCACATTCTTTCTCTCTCTGTTTCCAGCTTTACTGAGGTGTAACTGTACTACAATAAACTGCAATATTTGAAGTATACAATCTGTTAAGTTTGATCTATGTATCTTCCTTCCTCCCTCCCTTCCTCCCTCCCTTCCTCCCTCCCTTTGTTTCTTTCTTCCTTCCTTCCTTTCTTTCTCTTTCTTTCTTTCTTTTCTTTCATCCTTCCTTTCTTTCTTTCTTTTCATTCTTCCTTCTTTCCTTTCCTTCCTACCTTCTTTCTTCTTACCTTCCTTTCTTTTCTTTTTTTTT